TTCCACTGCAGTATGCCAGCGTGTGCAAATTGTTCTATTGTTCCAATGCGCTCCAGGTAGCATTGATTCATAGAACAGCAGCCAGTTATTTCGCTCAGAATCTCCGAGAGGTACCCTGGAACCCCAAAAGCAGCCTTCAAAAGGAATGGTGGCACCAACGACGACATTGCCGACTGGATCACTGGAGACATGGGGCGCACGCCACCTGTGACGGATCTCTGAGCCCTAGGACCCCACAGAGGAGCTTGCGTCTTGTGTAAGACATGAGAGTAGGACCGATTGCCGATTGCATAAAGAACACACGTCTTATACCAGGGTATGGCATACTATAGTATTGTCTTATATATATATATGTGTATATATATATGTATATATATATGTGTGTATATATATATAATGTAACTTGTTTTCAAAATCGTGTTACACACGCTGTATGTGGCAATTGGATGGCGCTGTTTGGGCCTGGGAAGCCCAAAGCCCAAACCCTAAACCTTATAAACCCTCACCGCTACACATACACACACGCACACACACGCACATACATACAAGCATACATACATACGTGTATATATATATATACACATGGACTGTGCCACGTGGGAGCAAAAAAAAATATATATATATATATAGATGTGTATATATATATATACACACGAATTATTGTTACAACTTGTATATTGTTTTTAATGTTAGAGTAAATCGTATGATATACCCTAGAATCCTAGAATGTATGCTACAACGGGTCATCAGCTCCTCGGAGCATTGGGCGCAAGCTCCCGGTTCAAGTTCCACCCCGATGTCGGGTCGAATTCGAAGGCAGCGGTTGAGGGTTGAGGGTTTAGGCTTCCCAGAATCCCGAGCCCGCAAGAATGTAGCAGATACGCATGATTTGATAACCTCTGCCGCCTGCTTGAGTTCAAATCACCGGCCTTTGCCAGCGGGGGTCGATCACTTCTCCTTCTTGAGCAGGGAACCTCTAGCTGTTTTGGAGATAGAGCATCCCGTCATTTCAATTCAAAGGTTTGCCGTTTTGTCGGCCCGAGAATGCAGATCTCCTTCAAGTCGCGCTTGAGGTTGAGCCGTTCACACCGACCCTCGTTTTACCATTGCTGAAGAGCCCCACACCACAAGCGCTTTTCGAGTCTGACAGTTGAACATACTCGAATCGAACCGCCTCTCGTACGTTAATTAAGTGTCAACTGGCAGTTCACGGTGCAGTGCTCTGAATGTTTGTAGCTTTGGGCTATTGTAATGGAGGCTGAGGCAAGATTCTAACTTTGGAAGGGATGCAGATCGAGGAGTCGACGTGCGTGCAGATTTGCTTTCTGGACTGCGGAGAGCAACACCGAGCGTATGCATTCGTTTAAATCAATTGTTCGGTTTGGCTATGTAATTCTATCTACCTTCGCAGATACTTGTGCTCTTTGCTATGGAGAGGTTTCGGGTGGTTTGGCACACAGTCACATTCGCAGCATATGCATGTACATCTGAATCCACACAAGTACGTTTGCATGCATAGCTAAAAACATACATACATGCACATACACACCTATGTGCATGAATACATGCATGCATGCAACAAACTCAGTCACTTACAGACTTAAAGTTGCTCGTATGTCCGTGCATACTCTCTGTCTCCCTCCCTTTCTCTGTATCTGTCTACATGTATACATAGGTACATGTACATAGATGCACCAACATCAACCAGACGAGGGGATATGAGTTGGAGACCATGTGTTTCACAGTGGAAATCATTGCTTGAGCTGCATGGGTGCAGTGTGGAGGGTGAATGATGCGGTGCTCTCTTCGATCGATCCTCCAGTGCTCGGTGCGTGAAGCAAGGACAAAATCGCACCTCGCTAGCACGGCGGGCTGAACAAAAGGACTCTGAGTCGAAGATTTGATTATGAGAGGCGTATAGAGGCGTGATTATAGTGCAGTGTACACGTCGACGCATGTGTGCAGGTGGCATGATATCAACGACTAATTCACTAAGCAGCTAGTGATGACCGGTGTACCACAGCTTTGGGCACAGGGGACAAGGCGTAGTCTCTTCTTCCCAACTGTGCAGCTTTGAGTCCGCTTCTATTTTGGGGTCACTACACCCCCAAGGACAGTGCCTCCTTCCCAGCCTTCCCTTCCCGGTGCCCGAAATCAAAACGGCAAAGATCAGACCGGGACGGACGCCTTGAAAGCAGAACACCTTGCTGTGAAAGTTCCCAAGGCCCAAGCGCTAACTTTCTCCACCCGAAACCTGCCTGAGAGGGGAGGGGTAGACATGACGCGCTGCATCGGCGAGCCTAAGGTCTTGTCCTTCTGCTTTCCTGCCAAACCATGGGCTTTTCACGCCCTGGCCGTGGCAGCAGGCACAGGGAGGGCGGCTCTGGTCCAGCGTTTAGGTGATTTTTTTAGGGTTTCGTTTTCGGCTCGAACTGCTTGAGTTGATCCATAACCAATACCAGAAACAGATGCAGAACCCATCCACACGCCTGCTCAAGAGATCTCAAGGGTGTCGTGAAGCCTGCGGTGCCTGTCCACAGTGTAGGCATTGCCGCGTGTCCGGCTCTCCAGCTAGTCGGGCGTCTGGTCATCATGACCGCACGGCTGCAACGCCATGCAGACAAATTCCATTCAAAGAGGCAGCGGCAGCATGTGGTGCGTAAATATTTCCAAGCCTTGCGTGGCTTCGACAAAGCTGCCGTGCAGCAGCATGCTGCCCACGTGGCAGGGTGGCTAGCCTACGGCCCCAAAGACTATTCTCCAAAAGAAACCGAACTGCGGCTGCTGAGCAAATTTCTGGACAGGCTCGGGAAGGGCGTCCTTCCTGGCCGCTTGCAGCAGGCGCTGCCGGATGTGCTGGTGAAGTTGCAGTCCTGCAAAGGAGGCCCGCGAGCTGACCAAGCGTGGGCGCATGCTGCCGATGCTCTGGCGAAGAAGCTGAGGAAGTTCCACTGCTGCCGACCCGAAGGGGAACCCGAAGATGGCCTGCGACCAGTCGCTGGAGTCCAAAAAGCAGCCGAAGAAGAGCCAGCAGCTCGGGATGCTGACCGAGATGGTTTGGAAGGGGATCTGCAGCCTTCCGCCAGAGGCGTAGAGGCAACGGAGGCCCCCCCCCATCCAGAGTTCGGTGGCTTGCAGCGGCTTTTCCGGAAGAAGGTTGAGTGGGCGAACATGCAGCAATCGGAGCGGGCAGAGTGCTTGCTCCGGGCAGAGGCTGTGGCCGTGGAATTTTCCCAGCAAGGCATTGAGCAAGGAAAGCTGACCAAGATCTTGTACCAGGTGGCCGCTGCCTTGGCCCCTCCTCGCAGGGCCACACTGCCGATGGACCAAGATGGCGGCATGGAGCAGGATCCGCAAGAGGCCGGCCTCGAGAGCTCTGACTCTGCTGGGGGACTGCAGCGCCGCGCGCGGAAGTTGTTGCTGAAGGTCTTGCGCGCTTGGCGCACGAACCACTTCGACTGCGCTTCTATCCGCCACATCTTGGAGCACGTGGAGAGGCAGATCGGATGCTTCGAGGAGCAGGCTAGCGAGCTCCGCTTGGCAGCATCTGCCACCGCCTGGCTTGCTATCCAGAAAGAAGTCGGCCGCTTGCTAGAAGGTGCTGATGCGCTCGACGGACTGCCGGCGCGCCGCAGGCAACTGACGCGTCCGGCGACTAATTGGGTTGCGAAGGGTGCGAAAAAGGCTGCCATGCTGACGGCGATGAAGGCACTCGGGGGCAGGGCAACATATCAGCAGCTGCTGGGATACGTGCGACAAAATCTACATGTGTTTGGAGAGACAGATCCAAGCACCATTGAGCGCAGCTTGAGAAGCTTTCGTGCATCAGCGTACTTCGAGTTGCATGGAAAGGAAGACGGCGAGGATGTTTTCGGCTTGGCCGGGCCCTGCCCAAGAGGCATCCGACGCCAGAAGCGGGGTTTCACGGCCCGGCTGCACATCCGAAGCAATGACTGTTGCTGCATTGGTCCTCTAAGGTCGAGTGTCGAGGAGGCAAGTGCCGACTACCGTCAGTTGCAGGAGTGGCGAGCTGACATGTCACCCGAAGCGCTTTTTCAGTGCATTCGCAGCTGGCATGGTGCGCATGTTGTCAGCTCAAAGCACAAGCCTCGAGATCGTGTCAAATCGCACAAAAAAGGCCCAGACTGCCACGTCCGATGAGCCTCATCTTGCAGGTTCTTGTTGCTCTGGTTGTTCTGGAGGTTGTTGGCAGATGCAGTAGCATCATGTTTCGCGCTTCGCGTCGTGTTATCTTACGAATTTTGGCTCGCCATCTACATCCTCCCCACCCCGGGCTCGACCCTGAACAAAACCCCACAAAATTGAATCCTAAAGTCAGAAAAGCAGACTGTCCCCAGCCCCGAAACCCTTGAGATCGCGGCTTCTGCGTTCAGGGAGTAGGCCGGAAACGATAGCGACGAGAGTCATGGTTACTACTCGTAGTGCACTGTCTAGGGTTTAGGGTTTCGGGGTTTAGGGTTTAGGGTTTTGTGCTGCGAGGGACTTGGCCGAGCGAGCTCAGTTCAAGCCTGTGGAAAAAGGGTTCAGGGTTTTGGGGTTGTAATCATGAGCAATTATAGTAGCAATAGCAACGCAGTAAAAAGACGTGTTGCGCCACGTGCCCGCACTGGAAGGTCCACCAGCCTAAATTAAGCGTGTTGATGATAAGAATTTGCCGCAATCACAAGAACAACGCCAGTAGTAAAGCTAAAGAACAACAAGGTGGGTTCTGATAGTTCAGCTAAGCTCAGTCGTTGCTCTCGTTGTCACGGTAGCTGTAGTGGAAACTTACCCTGGAGCCCGGCCGGCTGGTACGAGTAGAGTCGAAAGATGACCATAATCATTCTTATCATTATTGCCAATATTGTTATCATTAGAATATTACCCTTCTTGTTCTTATTATTATAACTACCGTTATCATTATAAGATTATTGCCCTTCTTCTTCTTCTTATAAGGCACAAGTTGGGAATGATGGAACCTGGCCGCAGGCTTGGGTTTCATGCGGCCGTGCGTGACCCTGCATTCCCAGGTGTGACATGGTTGGGCACAGCACAGTAGTAGTAGTGGTGGTAGTGGTAGCGGTAGTGGTAGTGGTGGCAGTAGCAGTAGCAGTAGAAGTAGCAGTAGCACTAGTCGTAGTAGCAGTAGCAACAGCAGCAGCAGCGGCGGCGGCGGCGGCGGCGGGGGTGGTGGTGGTGGTGGTGGTGGTGGTGGTGGTGGTAGTGGTAGTGGTAGTGGTAGTGGTAGTCGTCGTCGTAGTAGTAGTAGTAGCAGCAGCAGCAGCATCTCGTCGCACGCACAACTTGCTAATGTAGGAAGAGGATGGGACATGTCTAGGGTCCAGGGCAAAGGTCGGATCAAGAGGCCGGTGCTCAACGCCTTGAAGCCGGGTCGTCGTCGTCGTCGTCGTCGGAATGTCAGTGGTGCAGCAACTGCTGCCACCATCCGATTCATTGGTGGTTGAAGTGCCACTCCTAGTCATGCACTCTAGCAGTTGAGAAACCGAACCCCCCAAGCTTCCGATATCAACCCCGGCAGCCGTGCTTTCCGAGCCCGAAGCCCCCGCAACCAGAACTTCCAGGCAGTCTGTAAGGGGGACCTGCGGGCCCTCACGCAGCTCTCGCAACAGTGCGGCGCTGGGACCCAAGAGCAGAGTTTGTAATATTGGGACCCTATTACAGGTATTCTTGAAGGTTCGTGATTATGAGAATTATGAGATAGTATACCCCCAAGCCCCGAAGGGTTGACATTGAGCGTTTAGGGCTTAGGTTTCTGAAAGAAGGTCAGGATTGAGGAACAGGAGTGAATCTGTTGCAGGAAGAGAGACTGGAGCTCGGCGGAATTCCAAGTACGGCATGTCTGTCTCTCTCTGTCTCTCTCTCTCTCTCTCTCTCTCTCTCTCACGCTCTCTCTACTTTTCTCTCTCTCACACCCTCTCTCTTTCTCTCTCTCTCTCTGCCTCTTTCTCTTTGTCTTTCTCTTTCTTTTGCTCTTTGACCGTGTATATAATCACCAGCACCTGATAAACCCAGGATGTAGCAGTTGACCTGAAAGCCCGTGTCCAGCAATTGTGTATGTGGTTCCTGTTTTGACTCGGGTACTCCGTGAGACAGCAGCACGAATTTGTTCATTGTTCCTCCCCGAAATTCCTGTGCTGAGTAGCCACGAGCTTTACAACGGGAATCGCCATCGGGAGGGTTTAGTCGAACTACTCCGGGTGCCAACATGATGCCTTCTGTTCTCGACCCTCAAACCCTGAAGCAGCAAATCCTCAATCCCGAGACCCGAGTTGTGAGAGCGTCAGTCCCGAGACCCCAAGCTAGACCCCGGAGCAGCGACCCAACCCGGAAGTCCTATAGTAATACTGCTGTTTAGCCCAGGCTGCGCGGACTTTTGCTGACGTTTGCAGCTTCTCGGCTTCGCATAGTCGTTGCACTCTTGCTAGTTTGGCTTTTTGCGACAATGCTGATGATTTCTCATTCTAGTATCTTGGCTATGTGGTTATTGCTACTAGTTCCACTGGTGACTTCTGATGGTGATGACTATTTATGAGGCTTCAACACACATAAACATGAAGATCCCGCCTAGGATCAATTATGCGGTCAAGGCCTCGAACTCTTAACTCGAATTCTGTGCAGGACTGCCTAACACTCTCACCACGTTTTTGTCGTTCCGTATTGTATCAGTTTTGTAGACCACATAAGGACCTTACCTTTTTGTCCTCGTGCGAAACTTGAACCCGAGAACAAGATCCTGCCGGACGCGAGATCTTTACGTGGAGAGTGCTTTATGTGCCGAGTGTTCTCCCTACTTCAGCTGCATCTTGTGTTTATGACTTTGCGACATTGGCCATATTATGGCGAGGTGCTTCTGCATTTCCAGGGCCAGAAGGAAAGCAGCAGTGGCATGAGCAGTAGGAGGAGGAGGACTTCGAAGATCCTGTGCCCATCTGCCTCGTCTGGATGGTCCGAGTTGTGAGTGGCGAAACCCTAAAACAAACGCCGGTGGGAAAACAACCCTAAACCCTAAAACCTAAAACCCTAAACCCCAAAGCCCTAAACCCCAACAACCCTAAAAACTCTCAGACCTCTTGCTAGCTAGCGACGAGCCTCCGGAGGCTTCATCCTGCCGGCTGCCCTTTATGATTTTGTTGGCTGGGCCGCGGCCTCAAAACAGCGACCACAGCTCTTGTTGGGTTTAGGCCCACAGCTCGTCATATTGTGCTCTTCTCTTTGTGGCTGGTATGAGCTGAGAAAAGTCTAAAAGGGGTGTGAATTAGAAGGGGTTATGGAGTACGTATGTATGTAGTGTTTTGCTGTCATCATCAGTATTTCGTTGTCACAGCCTCGGATTCTCCCTATTCACATCCAGCCTTTTGTCATTCTCATTTCGTTGCCATTCCGAGTTTCTTTCGCCTTGATGCTATTGCCACCGTGATGGCTGGGGTTTTTCTTTTTAGGGCTCCGGGTAGTCTACGGAGTTGGCTTTAGGTGTTGGATTTCGTAGGTTCTGCAACTCGGATGCAGGCTTGCGCCTCGTCATGAACCACCTGCTTCCATAAGAAGTCCGCAAATGCCGACTGTCAAATCCGGAACAAGCCTACTGGTGAAGCGAGTTGCAGATGTGAGCGATGACTCTCTACACACTAAACACTGGGAATTTTCTAAATGTTCTTTTGGGTACCCTAGATGCACAACAGCGTGTGGAGCTCGACTTCTTGATTCTGGATCGGAAGGCTTTGGGGGCTTTCAATGTCGTGGGGATGATCGGTGGTTTGCTTACTTTTCAGTCACTATTGTTGTGGTGTTGTCGACGGTTATGCTGGTGATACAGGCGGCGATGCTAGCAATGCGGACTTGTGCTGTACATTTGTGACATGGCCGTGGTGATGGCACTGGCAATGCATGCAATTAAGACTGCGGTAGCTGTGAAAGGGTGATGACGGTGGCGATTTCCATGGTGATGGCGCTGTTGATTGGTAGTAATGATGGTGACAATGATGTGGCTTTGTTTTGTGGTAGAGACAGTGGTGAGGTGTTTGTGATGTTGTCGGCATTGGTCGTGATGGTGGCGATAGCACCAGCAACACATGTCGTTGTTCATCGTTCTCGTCAGCTTTCTCATAGGGCACCCATGCGATTATTATTTCAAACTCAATTACTAGTGCTACGTATTACAGTTACTAGTAATAATGCTAGCATTATTGCTAGCATTATATTGATTGCTGTTACAATTGCTATTTCTATTAGCATCAGAATTGTGATTATTGTCATTACTGGTACTATTACTGCTATTACTGCTACTATTTCTATACTACTACTACTACTACTACTACTACCACCTACTACTACTACTACTACTACTACTACTACTACTAGTACTGCTACTACTACAACTACTACAACTACTGCTGCTGCTGCTGCTGCTACTGATTACATTATTATTATTATTATTGCGATTGCGATTTCTAGTACTAGTACTATGGCTAGTTACAGTTCCCTCACCATGTTTCGAGGCCGGAGTCTCTTTATTCGGCGTTGCTCTCGCCTTTTGCTACCTCGTGCGCCGGAAACAGTTCCGAGTGCATCCGAGTGCAAGAGGGTTCAGTTTGTGCGGAGGTTTCAGATGCAGAAGAGTGAAGACCCAAAGCCCAGAAGGAGAACATGGAAGTCCTTCCACACATGGAGGTATTGGCTGTGCCCATGCACGCGTCCAATGACGGGATGACATCTTCTCTTAGTGAGTCCGTGGGCCCAGCCATATTGCTCGCGTACTGTGTTGGTGGGAGTGGGAGGCATGCATACCGATTCGCTTGAAAAAGTGACCTTGTGGCAGCAGCACGTAAGAGCCATAGCAGCAGCAGTCAGCCGCCCATATGCCAACAGCACAGCAGTTAGGTAGTGATGGCAGTGGTTGTAGCGGTAGGTGGTTGTCTGAACTACGGTTCGACGCTGGACATGGGCTCCAGTCGCCAGCCTTCATGAGCGAAATGCTTCTCTAGGGAGCGAAAGGCAGCATCGAATGACATGCGCCCAGAGATCCCAATACCCCTTAATTAAGGAATATGCTTTAAATCATAATATTAAGGCCCCTATAACTTAAAGTATATTCCTTATTTAAGGGGTATTGGGCTCTCTGGGCATGCCCTGCTTGCGCGATTTTGGGGACCTCGGAGGAGCAGTCTTTGGTGAGACGGCCGGGATGCCCATAGTAGCAACATGAAGATGCATCTCCTTTGAAAGTGGCCTCGGTACTTTTCTTGGGTAGGGAAATTGTTGTGAGATGTTCTCCCTCCTGCTCACTTGGTGTCATTTCGCCGACTCGAACCAAATGCCTCGCTTGGATCGTCCGAGTGTGAGCGCCGTCACCCCAGTTCCGCACACCAGTTGATTGAGTTCAACCCAGCCGCTCTTGAATGCCAGGTGCTGGGCTCGTTTCAACTCAAGCGGATTTATTGGATCGATTGGATCCTGTCCGGGGCCTTCGCTGCGGTCTCGGCTGTGGTGTCTTTGGCTTGCTTTGGCTTGAGGCTTAACTTTATTGACTCGGGTTTCGGAGTTTAGGGTCTGCCGATGCAAAAGGATCTGCCAGAGCCCGGAGACGGGTGATCGTATTGGTCGTAGAAAGTAAGAGCAGCTATGACAGCAATAGCAGCAACGGCAGCAGGAGGAATAGTAGCAGGCGTCGTCGTGGTGGCGGTGGTGTTGGTACACGTGGTCATGGTAATGGAGTGGTGGTGGCGGCGGTGGTGGTAGTAGTTGTAGAAGTGGTAGCGGTAGCGGGTAGCGCTAGTGGTAGTGGTAGTGGTAGTGGTAGCGATAGCAGCAGTGGTCATGGTAGTCGAAGTGGTAGTGGTAGTGGTTATGGGTATAGTGGTAGCGTTGAGCTTGCACCCGGTGCCTGAGGTCAGCACCGAGTTGCAGTGGAATATGCCTGGAACCCAGCTCTAGGTACTGTGTCAGCAGAGCACTGCTTAAGGTCTGAACTTGTGCTCGAGAATTCCAGGTTCTGCAATCCTAGCGTAGATGAAAGCTGGCCTTTGCTGGTTTCGGTCCGACTCGTGAGGGACTAAGATTGCTATGAGGATTCTAGAACGATTTGTTAGGCTCCTCCCCTTGCCTTCCTCTGGCTAGTTGGAACGGCCACGAACCGCCCGCATGAAGCCGAGCGCAGAACCTGTGAAGACCCACGCCGACGCAGCAACGCAAACCTCACTTAGACCGATGGAGAACCCCAGGAACCCTACAATCGTAGAAGGTGCCATCGGAGTCCCCTGCCCAAAGATTTTTAGGGTTGTTGCTGGAAGACTTCAATCCCGCACTTCTTATCGATGTTTAGGGTACCCCTGAACGTCTCGACCTTCGAAAGTATCCTGAACACCCTGCAGAGGTTGAACACTGCGGTTCCAGCAGCGTTGGTCACCACCTTTGCCTTCCCGACCTATGCCGTCGGCGCAGTCCTAGGACTCGAACATTCGCAGTTCCGAGATCAGGATGTAAAGATCCACGTTTCCTCGTGCGGTGTTGCGCTGTGGTCCCCCCAAATCAAAAGCTTCATATTCTGCATTCTGATATATGGTGTACGAAGGGAGGAAACCGCTAGCTTTTAGGCAGCATCTCGGGGTCTGAGGCCAGGCCAAACCTAGCGAGACGAGGTCTGAGTGTCGTAGCACCGGCCCTTCGAGGGAGTTACTTCACCATAGGAACTTCGTAGCTTCTCTGAGCTTCTCGTAGCTCTTCCTAGCTTAGCCTAGCTTTCCCAGGATTCCTGCAGGTTATGTGAGAAGCTGTGGAAGGCTAGATTTTTACGACTACTCCAAGCGGCACTCCTTTGTTGAGCCACCCTATAGGTTTCAAGGAGGAACGTAGCCCAAGCTTCGTGACGTTATTGCAGCTATACTCATACTATATTTACCCACATAACTGCAACGATACTACATTTACCTATATTATTCCTTAAACGGCTCCTTGTCGCAACTATTCCGTATTACAGCCCGCAGGCTCCGGGGCTTTCGTTGCCATGTGCTTTCTGCTGGTGCTGCCGTCCCTCCCCAGGCCAGGGACTGTCATGGGCAGAAGGGGAGAAGGGTTAAGGTTCAGGGTTGACAGCCTTAAGAAATGCCTATACTATTTTGGGGGGTTCCTTATTATACTTACAGTATGATTTATAATGGAGGTTTAGGGTTGAGGGTTTAGGGTTTGGGGGTTGGCGAGGGTTTGGATTGCCACAGTTGTAGAGGGTAAAGTTCAAGGAAAGGTTTCGCGGTTAGCGGGTTAAGGTCATGTTGGCCTGAAGTAGATCTGTGACTGAAAGCGAGGAGCGTTGGGTGTTGCGTCGAGGTGCTTCAACCAGCCTCGACCGACAAATCTGTTGGCCAGCTACACCTTCATGAGCATGTCCTGGTTGTTTATGCCGTGCACTCAGCTGACGTGGGATGCCGTCACACACGAGCATTTGCCCCCAAAGTCTTCCGGCGTTGGGGATGTTTCTCAGTGAACCAGTTGGGAGCCTAATGCGGTGAGCCCGAGACTCCGTTGGGCACGTGCCTGACCTGTTGCCTGGAAAGCAAAAGTGCCTTGCCTGCTAGATGTGATCCGGGGCACGCTTGTCCCAATCCTAAACCTCGGCTGTCTGGTGTATCGTTAGAATAACCCAGCGCAAAGGCTTCAGAAACCAGAATTACGTTCTCCTAGCCATACTTAGAAGCAGGCCGAGCACCAGAACCTTGGCTTCATCACAAAAAAACCCAGAGGCCAGGACAAGAGCCGATGCGATAGCACCTAAACCCCGAACCCAAAAGCCCGAAAC